TGATTTTTGTTGTTACATTAAATCTAAAAAGAGTTGTCGTGTTGTTGAGTTGTGTTAACCACTTAGAATTAGAGAAGAGGTTTTCAAAAGTTACATATCCCTTCGTGTGAATATTGTGTTATGGTGTTTTGAGAGCCCAATTTGTTGAAAATCCTTATTGAGAAGTTGACCCTTGAAGTGGATATTGTGTTGTTTCTCCTTTAAGACTTTGTTGGTATCATGTGTGAGTAAGTTCGAGGTACATGTGTATGAAGCGACCACAATATCGAGACCAGGTTGAGCTATACTGATTACAAGTGATTAATTGAGTTAAATACGAAGTCGAAAACCTAGTTCCTAATCGAGTATCGGAAGGACGTAGTATTTGGTGTAATGGCTAGTCGTATTAATATTAATCTCAGTAATATACGTATATATATATATATATATATATAAATAATATTTCTAGCTAAAAAACACATGTATAGTAATAATATTATACATCATATCATACATAAATATTTACCACTACGTGCGTAGTTGCTTACTTTTACATATATATTATATATTATTGAAAACATTTACAATACGTGCTTATTTACATATCATAGTTTCTTTTTCTACTTCTATTATAATATTTACATGGGTGGTTGAAACAAATTTACAATAGGATTCACATGATTTGTTGGAGGTAAGTAAAAAATAACAACTATGGGTCCATCTATCACGGTTGGAATCGTGTGTGTGTCTCTGTATAACATGTTCTCTCATTTTATCTTCAATGCTCTAGTTTCCACTACTAGTGGTAGGGATTCCGTTGAATGTAGCGGTTATGACAAGTCGTTACATACTCAACTCAAAACATTAACATAAGAAGCATCTATCATCATGATCCGACATTTTATATAAACTAAACTAAGATTTTCATTCATCAAAGCCACACTCGATGCTATTTAGTCAACGTCCAGCGTTGAGGAGGCAGAGAGTCTTTGGCTCGTCGTCCACACCCAACACCATTTCACTTACACTCAGTGTGAACGTGACAAGGTGTGTCTAAGTACCCCATGTTGAGCATCGAAAAATTCATGCCTGATGTCATTTAGGCAAAAAACCTATACTTGACCCATACTCGGTAATACAAATCTATGCTTAGTGTTGTCTAGAAAAAGAGCTAGTGACCTAATAATGCTCAATGCCGCTCATCTTAGGCCAATGTCACCAAGTTCGAGAGCTCAGAATAAATCATGTTTGACACCATTCAATCCACACTCAATGTGGACAAGTCAGAGAGCTCTCAATTGACTCACCCTTGGTACTACCAATCTTGTGCCTAACATTAATGAGATAGAGAGCTATTGCTTTGTCTAATAGTTGATGCCATGAAATTGCCCTCCCGACGTGATGGCAATTTTGCACTTAGTAGAATCACAATTTGGCTCCCATCACCTAAATATCGGCCTCAACTGTAATATTCTAAATTTCTGATACAATATTATAATATTCTCAATTTTATTATTATTATCGTATTCTTAAAATAGTTGTTTAAATTTTTACTTACCATATTTTAAAACAAATAGAGATTAAGTACAAATTTTTTATATAATTTTAATATATTAAAATTTTTATTACAATATTTTCAATGAACTAAAATTGAATTATATAATATTTAATTACATTATAAAAATTTTAAAATCTTATTCATAATATTTTTCAGAATAATATTTTAATTATGTTAAATGTTTGATATAAGTAATAATAATAATAATAATAATAATAATTTTATTTTAAAAAAAGCTGCAACAGATAAAATCTGTTGCATTGTGCGAACCTTATCCTCTAATTGGTGTTTATCTCTTAGTAACTAGAAATATAATGGTATAATTGAGATCAAATGAAAAAGGGAAAAAAGTTTTTATTAAAAATTAATTAGGTAATCATTACAAAATTTGCCTATAAATAGGCCAAAAGGGGGGACCATCAGTAAGAAAAGAGAGAGAGAGAGAGTTTTGATAAGAAAGAAAAGAAAAAAGAAAGAGAGAATAGGAAAGTGAGAAGAAAAAAATTTAGCCGTTAACTCTCGATAATTCTACATTTCTAAGGTAAGGGGGAAGAGACTTTTATCTTTTTAGATTTTATGTACTATTATATTTGTTTATTTTATGTAATATTTATGTATTTTTACTTAGTGAGGTGTCTTTACCCTCATTTACTTATTTAATCTATAATACCTTTTACTCTAAATAATTAATGAGGTGTTTCTAGTTTATGTTATTTAATTATTTTATGATGTTTATAACTATCATTTACTAGATTAATATTCTTTAATACATCCCATTTTGTAAACTGTTATAATAAAATCTAAATAATTAAAAATATTTTAATTTATTTAACTTAATTATTTTCTTTCTCTAACTATAATCTAGTATTGTTAAATTTTTCTTAATCTTATCTTATATCATTATTCATTATAAAGATAGTGTTAATCTATGGTCATAAGAATAAAAATTTGAATTAATTTGTAGTTGAATGTTTGACTCTGGGGATTTAAATGAGTAAAGAACTTAAGGTAAAATATCATTTTGTTATTTTGATATTATGATAATGTTTATTTATCCTGACTAGTCACTACTAAAATAATTCAAATTTTTATTATAACAAGAAGGACTAATATATTCACTTAATATTGGTTAAAAATATTTCTATGTATTTTATTTAATTACTGATAATTATTGGATAATTGTTCTCACTCCTTATTTTTCTTTGTTTTAAAATTAAATACCATATCCTTTTATAGTTGTCATTTCTACTGTCTTTCCTGGAGAGAATTGGAATGTGGTTTCCTAGAGAGAATTGGAATGTGGTTTCCTAGAGAGAATTGGAATGTGAATGTTGTTTACAATTCTGTCATGTTTCAAGACATAGGATTATCTTCATTTATTTATTTTTTTCTGGCCAAGAATATCCATTGATAGGCCTATTATAGTAACTTTCTTTTTACCACTCGCCAACCATGTTAATCCAATTGTAAATTTATTTCCATCACCAATGTAAATATTAAAGTAGAAGTAGAAAATATATAGTATGTAGATAAGTATGTTATTGTAAATATTTTAGAATGGTATGTGATGTAAACATGAGCTAACTATATATATATAAGTTCACAAAATCTTCTTTATCTTTATGTAAAATATTATTAATGTTATAATTTTGTTAATAATTTATAAGAAATATATATTTCGTATTAAATTTAAGAACTGTAAAAATAGGTGTTACATCAACCCAGCATACAACATAAGGAAACATAACTACACATCACTACTAGTTCCATTTCAGCAATATAATCAATATGCAATCATTAAAAGGGTCAAAGATCACCATTTTCTTCTGAGAGAGCATAAACATCCAAAACTCAAAACTCAACTTCATTTCACCTCTCAATTCAAGATAAAGTTATAAAATGATGAATTCAAGCAGAGAAACAATAGCAACAATTCAAAAATTATCAAACAATAAACTTCCCTTAACTCCAATCACAAGGGCAAAGGTAGAAGATGGAAGAAAGTCTAACAACACCAAACTCTTGTGCGACAACTTCTTACTCTGATTTTTAGCTTTAGAAGCTTTGAATCTTGATGTAACTATTCAATTACTCTAGAGAAAGATTCTATAACACTCTTGTAGAATTAGAAGAATAAAAATTTTTTCGCTCTAAGACTTCTCCCTCTAACTTCTCTCTAATTTTCTTAAGAAAATAAATTTATGAAGTTTAATTAACTTTAACCTAAAATCTAAACAATCCTTAAACATCTAAACTCATAAAAATTCTTTAATTTTTAAAATTTTATGAGAATTAAATAATTAATCACATAATCAATTAAATTAGTAAAATCAACGAATTTCAATGAAATTTCAGTGTTACAAGAAGTTAACTTTTGCTTATTATTTCTTTCATCTTCTCTTTAATTAAAAGAATTCATTATCTGAATTTTTTAAAAAATAAATCATACATTTTAAGACCAGCAAAGAAATGAGCAAATGAAGAAACTCTTTATTCTAAAGAAAAGAAAAGGACAAAATATCTCCCATCATTTCCCTAAGATATTTTTAAAGTACTCGTTGTGTAATAAAAATAAAACTAAAACTAAAGAGTTTCTATGAAAGGAATGTATGGGAAAAAAGAGGGTACGGTGACTCTGAAATTCACGACATTCCTCAATCATCACAACGAAAATATTATAAAAACCCACAAGCCACACGTGGTCTATTAATATAATTTAGTTTCTAGAGATTCATCTCTCTATAGCTCCCAACGACAAAAACCTGATCTAGACAACATTTTTCATTTCTCAAGAGAATTTTATTGATATAATGTTAGAATATAAGAGTAATAACGAAAAGCCAAACGAATGTAAAATGGTTATATTACCGCCATGTTTGAAACTGCAAAAGCTAGAATATATAGGTTATATTTGAATAATGTTTTTAATAAATGTTTATAAAAAGCATAAGATAATAAAATAAATCAAGCTTTTCTATGCACTAAAGTTAATTTACACATAAGTTAATTTATAAAATTTTTCTCGTTTAACTTCTTTAAAATTAATTTTAATTTATAAAAAATAGTTCATTTATCCCTTCAATATTTCTTAAGAAATTTATCCAAATAATCATAGGTTATGATAAAGACTCAATTATCACGGAAGACTAGTGTTACTACAAAAACTACAAGTTTAAAAATTAAGAAGTTTGTACTGGAGCATAAAAAATTGTGTTCATTTTGTGCAACTAAACATGATATACAAATACAATGTGTAACATATATATGCAACAAGTATAATGTTCTTAATAAATTTCTACCAAGCTTTTCTTACCTTGGATAGATTCTTTATTTATGCACTACTACGTCTTTCGAAGCAAGAGGATGTTCAGAAGTATTTGAGTGTGAATATTAAATAGATAGAAAAAACGAAGGCAGAGAGAGTGAATAAAAAAACATTGTAGTCCATAGAAAGTAACAAAAGGAACATAAAAGAAATGATATCCGTCGTATAAAATTTCCCTCAGTACTCATTTATTACATTAAACCAGGTCAACAAATAAGGATTCTTAGCGAGCTAAAGACAACACTTAGGCAATGAAGCTCTCTAACTTGGGATAAAACCTGATCAAATAAAAGTAACATTTAAAAGAAAACAGCAACAGAAATCTAAACTATATTAAGAATAGCATGATAATATATGAGGATGGGTGCATTCTCTCTGAAAAACCAACAAATTCAACTCTAGCTTGTGCTTCTTTTCCTTTATGCCACTGCAGGCATGTCCTTGAGCCATGCATCTAGAGGCTTGCCAATGGAGTAAACAATGAAACCAATTTCCCTCAGCTTTTTAACATCCACAACATTGCGGCCATCAAAAACGAATGCAGGCTTCTGCATGTTGTCATAAACCTTTTTGTAATCAAGGTTCTTGAACTCATCCCACTCAGTCATAATGCAAATACCATGTGCATCCTTGATTGCCTCATATGCATCCCAAACCACAGATATTTGTTGCTTGTTGGAAGTTGGACTCAATGGCTGAAGATGTGCAGGGTGGTCCCAATCAAACTTCTTCATTGCAAGATCCCTCAAGATTTGATCTTCAGAAACCTGAGGATCATATATGCTCAACTTAGCCTTGTCCCCCAAAAGCCCCTTGCACACATCAATTGCTGGGGTTTCCCTAGTGTCACCAGTGTCCTTCTTGAAAGCAAACCCCAGAATTGCAATCTTCTTCCCTGAGACTGTGTTGAACATGGACGACACCACCCGGTTCACAAACCGGTTTTTCTGGTAGTCATTCACCTTGATCACCTGTTTCCAGTAATTGGCCACCTCAGGAAGGCCATTGCACTCACAGATATAGACCAGGTTCAATATGTCCTTCTGGAAGCATGATCCACCAAAACCAACACTAGCATTCAAGAACTTTGGTCCAATTCTTGAGTCTGTGCCAATTGAGTGGGAAACCTGTGAGACATCAGCACCAGTTGCCTCACAAAGTGCTGACATGGCATTCACAGAGGAGATCCTCTGAGCCAAGAAAGCATTGGCAGCAAGCTTTGAGAGTTCAGCAGACCACAAATTGGTGCAAAGGATTCTGTCCACAGGAACCCAATGAGCATAAACATCTCTCAAAGCATGAATAGCCTTTTGACCCTCTGGGGTTTCCCTGCCTCCAATGAGGACTCTATCAGGCTTAAACAAATCTGCAATTGCTGTACCCTCAGCAAGGAACTCTGGGTTTGATAGAATTGTGAAATTGATGCCCTTCCTATTGTGAGTCAGAATCCTCTCAATTGCCTCGGCTGTTTTCACCGGCACCGTTGATTTCTCAACCACGATCTTGTCTGACTTGGAAACATCAGCGATCATCCTGGCAGCACTCTCCCAGTATGTTAGATCGGCAGCCTTGCCGGCTCCAAGGCCCTGAGTCTTTGTCGGCGTGTTCACCGACACAAAGACTATGTCAGCCTCGGCAACATGCTTCTCCACATCAGTGCTGAAGAACAGATTCTTCCCCCTACACTGCTTCACCACATCATCAAGGCCAGGCTCGTATATAGGGAGGTGGTCACTGTTCCACGCACTGATTCGCGGCGTGGAAATGTCCACCACAGCCACCTCAATCTCAGGACACTTCAAGGCAATCACGGCCATGGTTGGACCACCAACATAGCCAGCTCCAATGCAGCAAATCTTCACCATATTTTTTTTTTAATTTCTCACAAGCACCCTGCGTCACACAAAATTCCCAAACTCAAAACAACACATAAACAACGCATATTGCCAAATTCAATCTCAAAACATTCGTTACCACTACCAGTCAACAACGCAACCAACCACACCACACCATTTTTTTTTATCCATCACAATTTCAATGAATACATCAGATTTCAAACATAAGATCCCAAGACCCCAAGCATTCTGCTCCAACTCAACTACTAGACCCACCTTAGTAGTTACCATACCATACCAAGATCCAAACCTAAAAAATCAAAAACACCACACAAAAATCCATCCAAAGTCCTCACATACATAACATTACACAACACGCGAATTTTGAGAAATCACAAGTATAATCACCGCAGAAAAAGATCTATAATTTTCAACAACAAAAAAAAGAATCATGGAAAGGCAAACAGATCCAGATAATATTAGCAAGGAAAATACAAATGGCTAAATATAAATTATTGAAACACTAGTTCAGACAAGCACACACAAAACATACGAAACAATAGACAAATCACGTAAGCCGAATCCCCGCATAATAAATTCAGGCACCAGATCTAACAGCATGATTCACACGAAAGCAGCCAAAACAAGAGATCCACCCACTCAGAGTCCGCAAACAAACATGCAGGAATGATAAAAAAAAAATAATAATAATAATAATAAAAAAAAAAGACCCAGAAGGGGAAAGCGAAGGAGAAGGACGAAAGGTAAAATGGGTAAGCAGAAAAAAGAAAAATTGAAAGGGGGAAAGGGCAGAAGAAGAGAAAGAGAGTGTTTGTGAAATTTACCTGGTTAGAGAGATTGAGGGGAAGAGAGAGAGATCTGAGAGGAATGAGAGAAGAGAAGGGACTTATATAGAGAAAGAGAGAGAGAGGGAACGTAGCAATAGCATTCACAAACAATCACAATTCACAAGGCAGTGAGTGACCAAGATCTAACCCGCCCCATAGACCATAGTTTCCGTGACAAAACCATTACATTACTACCGCCACACTGCCATTGTGCCTTACACGTTTTCCCTTTTCACTTTTTTTTTGCTTACCCGCTAATTATTTCTTTCTTTTTTCTTACCACTATTTCTTCCTAAACTTCATCGCTCACCTTTCCCTTTATGCTTCTTTTTAACCTTTTATTTTTCGTTTCTAAATTCATTTCCAATCTCAATAAATATTAAATACCTATGTGGGCCCTAAACTTTGCTTTTACAAAATAAGATTTTATCTTCTTCTTTAAAATAATTAATTTTATATCGATATATAAAAGGAAAACCTTCTTTTAACTGTTTTATTTTTTTCTATTTTAAGTTGAATTATTATACCTTTTAATTCTTTTAAGAAAAATTAGAAAGTTTAAATCTTTTTAATATCTTTTCTCTAGCTATTAGTAACATTTTTACACTCTTTTAATAACTAACCAATACCTACTTTATTATTTTTTATTTTTAAAAATTAAAAGGCAATAAATATTTCTTTCCCT